TTTTCTGATAAATATCCAAATACTATTGCTGCCTTCGCAAGGAACAAAACAGAAAGCAACATATAGACTGACAGAACACCTTGAAATTTCATGTCTCTCTCCTGTCCTGTGCACCACATGGGGTCCCACTGCCTAGTCAACACCTGATCCTGGGAAACCCACCTAGTGAGCCACACTGCCAGGGCTGGTGCTGGGTAACTTCAGGTGCCACTTTGACACAAGTGATAACACAGCTACACAACGATGCAGCACAGGTGCAACTTGATTTCAAGGTCCAGTAGCAGCACAAAGGGGGAAATTACACTTTCAAAGGCAAACCCTGAAACTCAGCAGGGACAGTTTTCATTTTCAATTTCCAAATGCCAAGAATAATAATTATGGTTGTTTTCAAGAACAGCATCCAAGTTCAAATACATTGCACTTCAATCCCAAATACCCAAAACGTTACATGCTGCAAATGACATTTGAAAAATGTAGGGCTGTATTTTGGACTAAAGACCAGGAAATAGTGGCATGAGTTTGTGCGTGCACATTCAAGTTTGTGATCGTGTTTCCCAACTGACCTTGCAATCATAAGTAATCATAACACAAAGTGGATGTTATCATTATGTTTTGGCTTTTAGTGAACAGTCAGCACTGGCCAGTTATTCAGCTGTTAAATGATAGCAACTGTTTCCTGATAATATAAGTAAATAAATGGGCGCGCGTGTGCACGCACACGCATGCACACACACACACACTCCTGGCTGCATTATGTCCTTGCCCTTTAAAATATTGGATCCAGATATACAATCTAGAGTTGTAACTGTTACTTTCTACGAAGACTCCACAACACAGGATCATCTAGGAGAAGCTTAGTCATGACCAACAGAAAAAAGAATCCCTCTTCTTAGGTGCTATGTGCTGAAAAGGGAAAATGAGATACCAAGTCCCATTCCCACACATGGAGAAGAGAAATACAAGGAAAAACTCCTCCAGCAAACCCAATCCATGGAAGCGGTAGCTACTGAGTAACTTCAACAGACAAAGCTTTGAACATGATATTATGAGCAGAACTAAAATACTGTCTTCAATATCAGAAGGCAAGTGTCTTTATTATCAGGTATCTACACTGATTACATCATCCCATATCTGGTATATGGCAAAGAACTACAGACCTAGTCCTACTTTTGTCATGTAAGATCACAATACTAGAGAAAGGTAGACAGGTTTTTCTAGAAAACAAAAAGATTTTTAAAAAATTAATTTTATTGGTACATTTTAGGTATACGATATAATGACATTCATCATTGGAAATTTGCACCTTTACATAATCTCTCCTGGTTCTTATTTTTTCCCATTCCCCCACGCTCCCTTCAACCCCTCCATCCCTCCCTATTTACAAAGACTTTGTTTCCATTTTTTCATTTTCTCACATTAATTTCATTCCTTTCCCCTACCCCTCCCACTTCCCCTTCCCCTTTGCCCCTTTTCTTCCTATTTCACATTATCTATTATACCTTTTAGTCAAAAAGATTTTTTTAAAGCTGAGGAACCTAGGGATTCATACTTGCTGGCCATATAGGCATATGCTCTACCAATGAGCCATACCCCTGGTCCCAGGAAAGTAGGTAATTTTGACAAAAGGGTATTCAAGCTTTTTTGGAAAACAAATCTGGGTAAACTGATTTCCTGTGCAATCAATGGAAGGGTAAGACATTTTTTTTTTAATCTGCTTTTTCATTTGATTCTCCTTTGTCTTCAACAACATAAACAGAACTCACAAATGCAGCTCAATCTGATGGCTGATTTTAATGAAGTTCATTTCCACCTAAATTTCTCCAGGGGCATGTTCACTTCCACATAATAAAAAAAGCCCAAGGGTGATAAATTTGGAGAGAAAAGCCATTTGGGATAAAAGCCACACAGAACATAGTTAAAACAGTGGAAGGGGAGGGGGTGTGCGGCACGCACACACATGCGCACACATATACACACACCCTCATAGAGACAGATAGCAAGAGCAAGCTAGAGAGCTGTACCTTTAAAGAAAATAAATTTAGGGAACTCTTCAACTACTATGGTACCCAATTTAGAAACAGTTTATAGTCAACCAGAAGATATATCAGCAAGCAATAAGACACAACAGTAAGCAATCAGAAACATCAGTGAGCAATAAGACACTGGAGTAAGCAGTAAAGACACACCAGGGAGAACATTTCTGAGCAATTACCACATGTCTTAATGCAGGAAGAGAGAAAGAAAACCTTCACTCAACTAAGATTGGAACCCCATAAAAAAGAACTCTCTCACAGCTCAAGAGCCATTTCTGAGATGACAAGAGGGCTCCAAGGACCAAAAGAACAGCCATGGGCCGGAAAGAAGGCAGAAAAGCAATAACACACTGCTATACTCTTGAATGATGTTTATCGACTTAAGTTCTCATCCTTCTTTTTGGTTCAAGACAAACAACTAAAATATGGGCTGGTTCACTGATGACATAAAAAGGACCTCCACCCTCTAGGGTAAACACAAGAAGGTGTCCAACACAATGATACCCACTCCAGCCAAAGTATTCCTGAGAGGAGGATGTACCAGCACATAGAGGGACAGACTTTTCAAAGGCCAGCCCCAGGGGTAGAGCTGAAGAAGCAGGGTACTTCCATTTCAGATGGGTTATTATACCCCGGGAAACTGTCAACTCTTTCTCTAGGACCTTTTAGAAGATGATGGCACCTTGTTACAGACTCTGCCCTTAATTTACAAAGGGAAGCAGGAACAATGCAGCAAACATTCAATCTTTTCCCTCCATGATGCCAGGAGAGCTTAAGCCAGAAGCCAAGGATCCCTCTCCACCACCACCACCAACTACCTAAACTTGGTAAAACCCGTGGAACCACTTTCTTTGCAGAAATGCTAAGAAGATTAAGAGCATGTTGGAGGGTCAAGAACAACAACTGGTATATACTAGACTCTTGCTGTTAAGCTTCCTTTCCTTCCCTTCCTGTCTTTTCTAGGTCACAATCCATTTCTAGTCTGTCTCTCTTCACAAGGCTTCCAGAGTTTATTTTCCTGCAGGACAGCTTCCATCATCATCCCCACCTCATGAAGACCATAGCTTGTGTTTCTGTATGTATGTGTATTATTACCATAACAGACCACTAAAAAGCCCTAAAGAAATGGACTGTATCCAACATACACAAAAGATATAAAGGTGTGAGACTGCAGTTAATTATTAAACACAAAACTCTGTTTTCTATTGCCCAAAAAGGAGAAAAATGCAATAGTCTGGTCTGTTAAATATTAAAAACATGGCAAGAGCAGCTCATTTAAAAGATCTCCAGTGTGAGTCAATGGCTTAGAGAATATGCTCAAGAAGTATCTGTTAGCTGAGTTAAACTATCTCAGTACACAGGTTAGGATCTCATGTGAAAGAAGTAGCCAGCAAATCCCTCTTATGTCATTCCTGGAAGTCCATTATTCTGCATCCTGAGACTTGAAGTCTCTTTGTGAGCCAGCAGTCAGAAGGAGAGCCAGGGACAACAGATCCCACAGCAGCGGAGAGAGTGAGGGCAGCAGGTACACAGACCCTTAAGTTATGGACAGAAGCAGTGAGGGTCAGCAAAATTAATGGCAGAATACTCCACCGTACCTTCAAAATCAGATAATGCAGAACTGTGATGAAATCAGACAGGCCCTTTCCAAGAGCATCTTCTACTGGGAATGGGCATTGGGAAGTGGGGACTAAAGAAGCCTGGATCCCATTTATTAATAAGCAGCTCAAAACAACGGGGAAGGGGTTTCTTGTCTAATTACAGAAACTATTGAAAACTGCAGGGAAGATGGAATTTATGGCCTAGATGGCACCACCTCTGTGTTGTAATTATAAAAGTTATTTTTAACACTTTGGTTGGATATTTTGGATTATTAGAAATATATTTTTCAATTTACAACTTGCTAAAGTGTAAAGAACATAACAAAAAGGTAATACAAACCAGCCTGCATAATGTGAAACAATTAAATGTTTTGACACTGGGAGATGGGAAAGGAAAAAGAATTGCTCCTATTTGACTCTGCATTTTTATAAGAAAAGAGGAGAGAGAAATAAGCAATGAAGTGTGTTAAATGAGTTTTTTTAGTTTCAGTAGTAATCCAGTTACTTTATCCCCTAACAAGAGTTGAGTCTACTGGCCACAAAAGTACATAGACAGCTTGTTTACAACCAACATGAGGACCTCATCCTCAGGCTGTCTGCTTTGTCCTGGGTTCCTAAGACACAGTGGTCCCCTAAAAAGAACAGTCCCAGCTCGAGCACAAACACCCATGGGCCAGGGTATATAAGGGTGAGCCCAATATGAGTTGTAGATAGTGACATATTCTGGATGATGACATGCTGTATATGACTTGGGTTTTGTTCTTAATTCATTTCCCTCCTCTTGTCCAAGATTCCAATTTCAAGAAGGGCTCAGACAAAAAGCATCACAGTAGAAACTTCATAGTGGTGCCCCTGAATGGATATGGAACTGGTCAGAACTAGGTAGGGCCCATTTATCTCCTAAAGACCATTTCCAGAATTTCTATTGCTCCATATATACACAGGAGACATTTTCTGCAATGGTAGCTGTACGTTAACAAGAGGAGAGAATCTACTAAATAGAACAGAATTTTGAAATTGTCTGACATCAGGGAGAAAGAAGAAGGAACTCTAACCAGCAGGTGCTTCTCAGGTAACCTCTATATTTCATTTAATCTACTCTACGAATCTTCTCATTAGAAGTCAATTCCAGGAGCTCATTATGTGCAAATGTGTCAGAGAAACGACCGGATATTACACATCATGATGAAGCCATAAAAGCATTCTAACATCTGTTATTCAAAAATAAATTCAAAGTTATCTTCACAATGGCCATAATAAGTTTATGGAATTTGTATTGTAACAATAAGAACTACTGTGCTGCGTTTTTTTCCTAGTCCAAAGCAGTGTCTCACTCCATGTCTGCATGTGCAAGGGCCACTCTTACCTGCCACATTAATCTTCTCAAGTGCTACCAAACTGGGAACAGCTGTGGTGGAGTTGGTTAAATTTGTTCCTGTGCCATTGATAACAAGATTGTCCACCTTCGACTCCAGCTTGCCAATGCGCTGCAAAATGTTATCCAATAACACAGCAAGAGTTTTCTTCAGATCTGTAAAAGAAAATGCAGAAAATGTGAAAAGATGTCAGTGTCTGTGCATACATGTCTGACTCTCTCCATTTCTAACATGGAGAATAAAAGGTCTCAAAACGTAGGCTAGGGATATAGCTCAACGGACACAAATAAACCTCTCCTAATAAAGCATATCTTAGAGATGACAGAGGCCAGCTTCAACTGGCCCAGACCCTACCAAACAAATTGGTTTGCTATAGAATGTAAGTCTGGTAAGGAATGACATTTTAATGTTACTTCCAGCTACTAGAGAAAAATCTCTGGTACACAGCACCCTACCACACATTGTATTAAATTCCTTCTCCTTATAGCCCTGTGGTTATGACACATAGAGCAACAACCCAAAAATGCAGCAAGGTCTCAAAGTAGCTTCTGGATTGAGTTCATTGTTGTTTTTAATCATTGGGTACTCTGGCATGCCCCAATTTTTTGGAATGAAAGAAATATACAGGACTTGCACATGTTGGAATAGCAGATGAGCAAGAGAAAAGACACCCACGTGAATAGAACCCAGTCCCACTTAGGAATTAGAATTTGGCCAGGGCAGAAGTTCCAGTGTGGGCAGCAAGATGCTGAGCAGCTCTGAATTAAGACAAATGGGAAGTGTCACCTTCCATTCTGTCAACAAGAGCAAGCTTGCCTCAGAGCATGTGTCTAATTTGTCTGGGAAATAAACAGACACCTGATCAATTTCCCAACCCAGACCACAGTCACAGTACTTTGGCCAAGTTGCATCCAGGCAGAGAGAAAAACTCACTACAAGAGAAATGCAAACATGCAATTAATATGGAAGTTTGTGTTCCCTATGGTTTACAGATAGTATCACTTGTGTATAGACTAAAAACTGTACACAAAATCCACATCTTTATTTTGAAAGTCTTGTTTGTAGCAAAACCTCATTCTGACACCTATCATTAGACTTTTTCACAAGGTCCATAGCACCCTGTTCATTCATTCATCCAAATGAAAATCATTCAAATGGATATTTAATGTGTGTCTTATTCACAGGCACTGTAAATTTTTTAATTTTTTGTAGTTTATGACGCTTTTGATATTTTCACAAACTTTTCTGGCTGTCCTTCCAGAGCTTCCAGCCAGTGCTTAGAGACAGCAAAGAGCCTAGCCTAGAACATGTCTCTGACAATGCAAAGTAATTAAGCCAGAGGCACACCTTCACGAGCTGACCCACACATTCCAGGAGACAAATGCTCCTCTACTTACTTACTTACTTTATTTATTTATTTATTTATTTGAGGACTGGAGATCGAACTCAGGTCCTTGCACTTGCGAGGCAGGCAGCGGAACTACTGAGCTAAATCCCTGGCCCCACTCCTCTACTTTAATCATCCCTGGGCTGGGTGTCAGGCAATGAGGGAGCATTGCTAGAGTCCAGAACTCACCAACATTATCCAAACTAGCCAGGCCTAAGGTGCCTTTCTGAGAAAACTCCAATAAAGGGAGTGGCCCAAGCCTTCCCCTTGCCCCTGCATCTCCCTCCTGACGATCCTGGCATCTTTCATGTGACCTTGCATGGTGCGTTGTGCCTTCTGCCTTCAGGTCCTGTGAATTGATAAATTCATTTTCCTGAGCCTCTCCTGTGCCCCTTCCTGTGGCCACAACTGTCATGAAAGAATACAAAACACACAAAAGCTAGTCCCAGTGGTCAAAGCCACAGGACAAACACTGGAACTGCCATAAAGATGGGGAGGGAACTCAAGTTTCCTAAATGTCTGTCATACTTCACCCATGTACATGAGCAATCCTGTTTTATCCTTACTCCTCCTGTGAAGTACATGCAATTCCATTTTACAGATGAAAAAAACTGAGGTCCAGACAAAGTTCAAGTATGAAGTTCAGTCTTTCATCTATCACTCAGTGATTAGGGCCCCAAACTCCGGAGCTAGACTTCCTGGGTTTCAGTTCTGGATCTCCATTCCTGTTTCCTTATCTACCTAACAGTGATGTGGATAGATTTCCCTCCTTGGGGTTATATAAGGACTTAAGGAGGGATAGGGCTGTAGCTCGGTGGTAGAGCACATGCCTAGCATCCACAAGTGCCTGGATTTGATGGCTAGCATTTAAAAAAAAAACAAAAAACTTAAAAGATGTTTCTGACACTGCCTAGCATATAATAAACACTGCACAACTGCCTGTTAAGTATATAATAAAATTAAACCTCCCTCTGAAAAATGCTGTCATCCTTCGAAAGACTTTCCTTAGGTGATGATGCAAAGCTTTATTATTTTATCTGAAGGATCATAAGATCACTCTCCTCCCCAGCCACAGTCCCATACTCAGTGTGACTCAGTCCATCTCTGGTACATCATTAACTGGCATGGACGGTGGGAGCTGGTCACCCACTCTGCAATGTGACTGTGTCTAATGCTTAACCAGGTCTGACTTCTGATGATTACTGGAGGCCAGCCATGCAGATGGGGGCAACTGGGTGTATGCAAAGAGTATAGGTTCAGCAGAAGGAAACACTATTCAGATATGGGACATAACAATCTCCCATGTCCACCTTCTCTGCCTAAAGCCTGCATCACTAGACAGCTAAAATCTGTGTTAAAATAGCAGGTTAGTACTGTATTACCAGGAGTTGTAGTTAACCAGACACGTGGGCTCTAGCATGGGCCAATTCAGCATTTTCTAACCTCAGCCCTACTGGCCCTGTGAACCAGGTCAGCCTTTGCTGTGGCGACTTTCCTATGCTTTGGCGAAGTCTGGCAGCCCCACTGGCTTCTTCCTCCTAGGTGACAGTAGCAATTCCTAAATGTTACAACCAAAACTGTCTCTGAACACTGTCAAATAATCCTTGGGGGAAAAAAGGTCTCCGTTTGAGAATGGCTAAATTAAGTACATTCTCCCCATTCTTATCTAATTTTTTGTTTGGTATTGGGGATCAAACCCAGGACCTTGTGCTTGAGAGGCAGGCGGCAGCACCACTGAGCTAAATCCCCAGCCCCATTTTCCCCATTCTTGTATGCTCCACTGCCCTTCTGTGGTGCTATCAAGAAAGCATACAGTGGAGGAGTAAGAAGCTACTGGGTACACAGGTGTGACTTCCATGCATCAAGGCATTGCCGGAAACATGGCAAGCAGCACAGTGGGAGGCCAGCTCTCCTGCCTCACGAGTGTGAGGAGAAGACGAACCAATGGAAAGGGCCTCTGGGGGCTGGTAACCTTGTGAAACCATGTTCAGAGGCCACGAGTCTGGCAGAGTCCTGACCCATAATTATCAGCGATAGCCATCAGTGGAACACACCTTAGGTAGGATACAAAGTTTTTACATTACCGATTAAGATTTTTCTCTCCCTATTCTCAAATTACAATCTATAGGCGAGTGTGACCTACTATCTCTTACTGTTCCCTTCCTGCTTCCACTGGCCTTCTGTGGCTCTGTGACATGATGTGAATAAGGACATTTATGGTGAGGATGAAAAATGTTGATGTTCACCACCACAACTACTGCCCCAGTATCACCACTATGCAGTGAGTCCTGTCTGTGTGCCAGTCTCTGCCCTAAACACTCACATGGATCAACTCATTTAATCCTTCCAAGCCAGAAGAGGAACATGTGGTTGCTCCCCTCCCACGTGACAAATAAGCCACAGCACAGAAAGGCCAAGTAATCTGTCAGGTCCCTGCAGACATAAGATCAAACAGACAGTGAGGTTCCAGAGCCAAGGGCTCCTGTCGCTATGCTACCTCTTAACAACCACCATGGGTTTATCCACCAGCAATCATTGCTGACCTGCTTTTCTGAACCCATGTATCCATTATCAACCTCTGGGAATGTGTCATGTGTTTTTGTTAAGTCATATCTAGGACCTTCAGAGTCAGTGATGCCACTGTCCTGTGGCAACTCCATCCATCTCACCCAGCATCCATGAACAATGCAAACTGACACTGAACTGGAAACTACTGGATAAATCAAACTGATCGAGGACTTAAAAAAAAAAAAAAAAAAGCGAGACTCTACATCTCTGTCTTAAAATGAAGATGGACTATGGGATAGCAAAAACTTGGACTCCCTAGACACTTTAAGGCACATTTTCTCCCCTGACATGAAAAAAGTAAGAGTTCATTTCCAACTCAAGGAGCATTTTGAGACACCATTTCAAAATAAATCAATACAAGATTAAAAATATTGTTAGTGAGAAATACAAGGTCAAAGATGATACAATATCTATCTTTGCATCTGTTAACGTTTGTGTCTAGATGTCCCCTCAAAGCCTCATGCAGTTATAGGTGGGGGTTTTCAGAGATGGATGGATCTACAGTATGTGATTCATAGTGCAATGCCGGGATTAAGGGTGTGTGATTACTAAATCAGCCCACCGACTGGTTTGGTACTTTCCTAATCCAGATAGCCTAGATAAGAGTATAAAAGGGGAAGAAAAAAGCTGCTAAGGTCCCTTGCTTGCTTGCTTTGCTATCTTCTGCCTGCCATAAACTGTGTCTCCTCTGCAATGCCCTCTACCTTGAAGTCAGCTCATTATGGACTGAAACCTCTACAAACTGAGCTAAATAAACCTTTCCTCCCTTAACTTGTGGGTGTTGGATATTTTGTCTCAAGAACAAGAAAAGTAACTAAGACAGCATTTTACCAACTAAGCACAGTAGCTGGAACATTATGGTACTCAATAAATATGTTTTACAATAAGTGAATGAATGAAACAAGTAAATGAACTATAGTCCTTCCACAAATAATGAACAATATTTCTCCCATAAATTACACCTTTCTGGGTGATTATTTCTCACACTTGTATTTTACAGTTAAAACTGCAAAAATTAACAGCTTTATTGCAATTTAAACAAACAGTGCAGTATTTTTGTGGTTATTCTTAGTGGGAACCTGCTTATCCAGTAAGACTACACACCAAAAAATAATTTCTAGAGAATTTAATAAGAAAACAAGTGCGAAAAATATTCCTCCAAATTCTAGTATAATATTTCCATACTTATGATTGTATTTT